GGCAAAACTTAAATGGGTTTTGTTCAAATTGCGCGCAATATCGGAACAAGAGGAATTTAAGTCAGATTTCGGCAAAGTAGAAGTTCGACTCACTTTCGATCGCAGAGTTTGCTTGTTTCTAGTCGCCGATTACACGAAAGTTCTGTTCAGATTGTCTGTGCTTATTTCTTAGTCGGTTGACCTAAGTACCTTTTTTCCATGCAAATAATTGGTGTAATGATCAACAAAAGGCACTAGACAGCTGCTTTGACCTGATTAGTATTCATCCTTAGTTGTGTGTACTATTTATGAGTCTCTGAACGGGAAAACTCTTCGATATCAGGTCTATGTAGTGTTCGCATATTTGATTTGAATTCAAAACAAGCGGTTCGATCATCTTAGTGGAATTAGAACTTGCATACAAAACAGACGCGGAAAGGTGCGTAGGCTAACCACAGAGACTGCTGTTCGCGTACCAGACTCGATGACTCATCTGTATGTATGACTGTTCTCCGCTGAATTACCAAGGCGTCTATAAAATGTATGGAAGGGTGCCGAATTCCTGCAAAATAATTGAGCATCAAAATATTGATCCCTTTTAAATGGGCGTGGTCGTTGCACTTATTTTTTGTCCATTCAATGATCATTTACCTACCTTTTTCGATGAACCAAAAGATAGTGGGACAGATCAGAGCTCGGGAGTTCATGGTTCATGGTTTTACAAACCGAAATAAATTGGGCAGCTAGTTCAATACGTTTTCAAAATTTTTATTTGTTTCCTTTACAAGGAATAGACAATATTTTAAGATGCGGAGTTGAAACAATCGGTGTCACTGAAAAATTGAGAATCACACCATTTTTTAAAAAGAGTTTAAATGTCTTTTTACTTCCTTTTTCTATTTATTGAATATAAAAATTTACAGTCAACTTTCAGGAAGGGGGATGCGGCCATAAAAAGACTGCTTGGGGAAAATACAGATATAGGGAAGACGGGCGGCGTTGGAGCAGTTTTGAACCCGGGACACCCAGGTCATTAATTTGTGACCTAACCACTTGTCCACCACCGCCCCAAATACAGTATGTGATCGAATAGAGACACCGAACCAGTATTCTCTTAGGATTTTTCTATCTGCCTCCGGATGTAGTTTATTTAAAACTTACGGAACCAGCACTTCACAGTGGAACACAAGTACTTTGTTAAATTGTAATTCTCCAGTCTACACAGGAATACCATGTGTTGAAAATTTCGAGGAATACTAACTTTTTGAAGGTAAACTGTATCATATCGTTTAAATAGAACATGATTGAATAAATAAGTAATTTGGAGCTCTGTTCTGATTCAGTTTTGTTCCTGGGATAGGTAAGCTTCATCTATACCTGTATCGAAGGCATATCCAATCAGATTTACAATATGCATGTGAAATTGGTGTCACCGTTAAAGGATACTTACCGGACCGGTTTTTGAAGTTCCGATGCTTCAATGTACTCACTTCGTTCTAGTTTGTTTGTCAGATTTCAAACCCCTAAACCTTCCAAATGGCGCATGAAACACAAAAAATATGAGGATAGAACCATCACATTAGCATTTTCCCTATCATTGGGGTTGTTATTTTTCATCAATTTCAACCAGAAACACGTATACATTTGTCACTAGTTTAGCTGCAGGTTTTTGGAACCGATCTTGAAAAGTTCATTTTGTTCCCGATTTTGGTTAATCGGATCGGATTTCGGGAGTTGTAGTTTATAATCGACCAAGTCGGATATCCATTTGGATTACGATACGAATTCTCATCCTTGTGCTGCTGTTTTCACACTGTGCTCAAAGATTCAAGTCATAACAATATTTCTACAAGTCTACAAACTGTTTTATTACGTCTCCAGGAGATATTGGATCCCTTTCCATTCGATAACAACGCCCTTCTGCACCGGATAAACATATTGCACTCACTTTAATACGAGAAAATTCACAGTATGAGCAGAATTGTAATTGATCATCAACTTCTCATACTCTTAATCAGCATTTCACACACATTAAATAGTTTGGAAGAATGCCATATTTAGACTGTTGTGACACGCAATTGACTAACACCTTCATCGCATGTGTCCATGGTTTGATTGTTTGACTGACCAATGTTACCACGTACGAACGAGCGCAAGTGTAATGATAGTAGTAGTAGTAGTAGTAGTAGTAGTAGTAGTAGTGGTAGTAGTAGTAGTAGAATTTAGGATCAGCTATCACGGATTGGATTACGGAAGCACTAGACCGCAATGGCACGAGCTCACAATATCCCACGTGAACGAGATGCGAGGAAAAGACCACAAGACTGGCAACTTGTGTTTAGTTTACTGGAAGAAATGAAAGCGATTAAATAATATGTGCAAAAGAAGGTCATTGGTTATCTAAGCTTCCACCAATCATATTGCAGTATTGTTTGAATAATTCTGCTTCTGTCTGTACTGTCTCGGATTGGCTGGCACGATCCACCAATGGCGTGTAGCCACAAGCCGTGACGCGTACGCGTCACCTTTCAAAATCGATTGATCGCAAGCGTCCAGAAACTGTAACGCGTCGCTCCAGCGTAGGCGTCATCACGTAGACATGGATCACCACAGCAAGCCATGTGGAATTACTCTACTACATGATCGACTTGCCTCACTCAATCCGATTTATGCATTGAACGAATAGCAGCTTGACGGCATTCCGATGTTTGCTGATTCCCTAGTTGGGGCAATCACCTCCATTGTAAACGAATCTCTTAACACTTCTACTATTCCCGACTGTTGGAAGCCGTTCACAATCATACCAACCCCAAAACATCCGAAACTTCTATCCTCTCCAGACGTTTTCATCACATAGCATTTAAATCTTCAGCTCTTAAATTGACTTAAAAGGCTACCCTTAAACGCCTTCAACAGTCTATATACAAACCCAGTGATCCGTTTGCTTACAGTCTGCTTACAAGCCTAATAGATCCACCCTGGACGCAGTCTCCACCCTCATTCATTTCATCACTAAATCTTTGAACAGCTCTGTTCAATTTGTTCGATGTGTTCTTCTGGACTGCTCTTCTGCATTCGATTCCATTCCTAGATCTAAGTTGTTACAAAAACTGGAATCGTCTGAATACCCCAAGCAGTTGTTAGCTTGGCTATCCAACTATTTTACTGATAGAGTACAAACCACTGGATTGGGGAAGTCTTAATTTAAACCGTTAGTCAACAACCTCGGGGTTCTTTGTGGAGCGGTGCTATCCACGTACTTAATTTCCACTTATATTCGCGATACTCCCTGTGTTTCTCCCGCACGTATTTTGAAATATGCAGATGATGTCGTGCTGTGTCAATTCATTCCTTCTCACTTCGATCTAAGCTCCTTCACCGATAATCTTGAACAAATTCAGTCATCCTCCTCCTTATCGGGACTGACCCTCAACCCCAGTAAATGTGTTGAGTGTTTATATGGTTTTGCTCGCTCTCCATATCCGACAGACTCCATATTGATCAATAACAATCCTTTATCCAGGGTGAACTCTGTCAAGTGTATTGCTGTAACCATAGATAGCAATCTTCATGGGTCTATCCACATCGACAAATGCATTGGTAAACTGTGGTGCCTAGCATTTCAAATTCGAAAGCTCAGGCAGTTTTGCGCATCCCAGTCAGTTATTTCTACCTTTACTTATCAGTGTGTTTTCCCCATCGTACTCTACCGTTCCCCAGTTATTTTCCTGGTTTACTCAGACAGGATTTAAAAGTCTTACGCCGCGCTCTAACCATTATTAGTCGTGTCTCTTTTATTCCGGTGAATGAGTTAACTATAAAGCTTTCAGAGTATCGCGTAACTTCCTGTGTGAAATTTGCCGAGAGGATCCTCACGGATCCTGACCACCTATTGCATGCAGAACTGACACGTTGTCGTTCTCATCATTCAACACGCTCCCAATTCCGTCAAATTGCATCTCGAATTAATGCATACCGCAATTAACCTATACCTTATCTTGCTAGTGTATGCAAAAACAAAGAGCGNCATGAAATATCCTCATTTCTGTAAAACAATTTTCTCACATTTTGTTATGCTCTTTGTGACGGTTAGCGTGTATGATTCTTTAACTGAAATGTGAGCTCCGGTGCTTGCAAAAGTTATACACAATACAAAATGTAGTATCTACCTCTATTAAAGTTCCCGCGGGAACAATAATACTTACATATGAGGCTCAACGGACTGCATGCATGCATGACTATCAAAACCGCTTCGGCTACACACGTCCGGTGGTTCCAGTGTTGTAAAACTTTCAATAGTCTGTGCCCATGAAGAAATTGTCTGATGAATAACTTTCACTTTGTTCTATGCCTACAACTCCGTCTGTTAGCGTGATCATTCCGCTTTCATATGACTCATGAGTGTGGGTGGAGGCATCGAATGGTTTCCAGTAGCCTGACTACGATTTTGCTTGAACGTGCCCATCACATGTGAAATGACATGGCACGGTATAAATCCACGTAGCCGTGAATGCTTGTTGTTGTGTTTGTCGTGGTTGTAGTTCAGTCATCCCACTTGAACAATCGTCTTCGAGAAAGAGAAAAACAAAAACAGTTCGACTATCAACATGTGACCTGTAGGACATTCAGGTCACTCAATGCATTTCACAATTAACCGTATCTGTTTGGTTGCGGGTACAATTTTACAGCAGGGAAAAGGTTAAAACAGGAAATGGATGGATTGCAGAAACAAAGTATGCAATCAGCTGAGATAGATTCAAAAAAGTAATGTAAAGAAGATAACAGAGAATGAAAACATATATATGTTATTTTCGTGTTTCAGGGTTACACAATAAGATACAAGATGCATACTAAGAAATCAGGCCGGTACACAGAAGCCAGATAGAGTGTAATTTGTCGTTTAAAGCCCTTCAATAACAGAATGCACTGAACAATGAAGCAACTTTGAACAACTATAGGGTGTGCTGGGGAATGGTTATGAAGAATTTAATAAAGAAGTATTTCGATGGAGTATCACAAACTTAGAGTTGATTGAAGCGTTTCACATAGATAGAGCTCAAAATGATGGCCGATAGGACTGAGCCTCCAAGGATGGCACCAAACACGATCAAGACGATTGCACCGACGCTCACTGTGAAGAAAAGCAAGAGGAAATAATACCCAGATTATTCGGAGTTGATGAGAGAGGGCTATTCAAATATGTGTAGTAGTGAACTAGATATTTGCAAATATATGATCAAAACCCTAGATGAAAGAATCGTTATCTGTTCGCATTACACTTATCATGAGTGCATTGTCATCTACATTAGCACTACGCAGTCATTTGTATTATCGAGAGTTGAGCAAACTCCCTTTTAGCTTAAGAAGATAATAATTGGACCCTTGGACAGTATGACCTCATCGGTGGCACGCTGGAAATCACAGCTTTTTCGTCAAACAGCATCTGGTTAAAATGAAGCATTGTGTCATGTAGACAGATGCAGTTAATATTCTGCATAAATAATACTGGGTTACATTATGCATACTTGTTTACGAATCCTCTGTTCACGTAAATTATCGTTTTTGATTGTGACCTTGAGTGTATACTCTGAAAGAACGGATTCTCCATGTGAAACTGAGGCACTGTGCTGGCGCTGAGGAGCACCGTGAGTCAAACCGATTTGCGTGCCCATGAATGAAACCTCTGGTTCTCTTCATCAATGAAGTGAAAAATGCCCCAGGTACTGAATAAAACTCACAAAAACTGAAATATTGTTTTTGAACCTTGTCTTGGGAATTCGAACCACTAAGTTTCTCACAAAATACTCTGTGTTCAAAAAAAGGGAACAGCTTGGCTTGGATTAGACATTGTGAAGTCTTCCCCCAAGGCAAATACATAGGGTTTCGAAGATCAAAATTAGGACTTGTTCAATTTTAAACCGTTTCATAAATAATTCCTAGCAATTTACTTCATGCAGTTTGAAACCATCCGTGAAATCCGGATTGGTTTCTTGCGCATCCGCTAAGTTATGTATTGTTTGTGAATGCAAAATATGTACTCGGTTTCGTTGCCCAGGCCAATTAGTGTCACCCATCCTGAAAAAGGGTCAAACAGTTATCAATTGCTTTTTGTTGGCACTCACACCAAGCTATTTCGTAAACAATTTGTATTTCTCATGGGAGGAAGAGAGGAACTATAACTTTTTCAATTTAAGATGTCCGAATATCAATTAAAGATGTCACTGCATCATATATATATATATATATGCGTGTGTGTGTATGATTGCAATTATATTAGTCCATCCAACCATAATGACATAAACACATGCAATCAGTATGTCAATCAATGGTAGAATTTTACCAACAGAAACAGCCATTAGAGACAACTGGATGAATAACAATAGCTTGTATTTTCCGATAGAATGAAACTGTAGAATGAATTCGTCCTGGTCCCCTGACCGAAGATAGCTGCAGTAAATACTGTGACAATTTTTAGACAACCCATGTAAAATACATGTGAGAATCGTACTATAAAGTGAGAAAAGGAAAAATCTGCGAAATCTACACCTTTTCCCATCCAAATTTAGCCAAAACCCAAATGCTTTAGCACTGATCCACAATCCTGTAGCTTCGACCTACATTCCTTTAGCCGAAATCGGCAATACTTCAGCCGCTACCCGTATTCCATTAGCATTGGCGCATAAAATTTAGTCATGCCGCTATGGGCGAGTCAGATCAAAAGTACAGGAATAGGCTGAAGGCAATCAATGTTGCAAGATTTTAATTTCTACAAGTGTTTATGCTGCTTGGTCAAGAAATGAGATATGATTATCACATTCCTCACCACATATTGATTGGAGAAGGTTTTAATGATGTGTCCGTATCTTCAATCCATTTGGCACATCCGTATAGCTTCATTATTGCCATATACAATGCACTGCTCCCGTCAGTATAGATCTCAAGTGATAACCAGCCATGGAATAACAATATCTCCAACATCACTTATTCAGTTCTAAGCGACCACTTGTGACAAAATAATGCAAACATTGGCAACCGTGGTTAGTTTAAAGATTAGCTGTTCAAGGTTGGAGAGATGGTGGAACCTAATTAGCCCAAATTGGTGTGTCACAAAAGCGTTTGATTCCAGCTGACTTGGTCAAGTAGGGATAAAAAAAAAGGTTAATTACAGTGCTTCTCGAGATAACTTGGATTACATTCGTGTCTTCGGTCAGTTGGTTTGCCGATTCTCACAAAGGATCGATCCAACGACCGTGATGTACTTTTATCCGCTCGCCAAGGCTACTTCGAGCGACCGAGCCATCACCGAAGGGAAAAGACCCGGATAATGTAAGTTGGAAAAGGCGTGCTGGTTACAAAGACCACAAAGCAGAACAAGCCTCGATTGAAAACTGAGTCAATTGGCTTTAAATGTGCTTGTCCATATGCATACTCTACGATCACGGTGAAAATTAACGAGGAGAAAACTGATAAAATGCCCCATAGTTTCGTGCGCTAGTAGCAGCCAACGTTGAACAACTATGTGCGAAGGCCAAATAAACAAAAGAAACACCAAGTCAATTGCATCAACAAGTCGTGACGTGAAC